CGGCCCCCGGCCCTCCCCAGCCACAGTGAGGCGGCAGGCCCTCCGAGGCAGACGTCAGCTCTGCCTTCATCCCGGGGCACCCACTTTCCACTCTGGTCTTTGCAGGCCCGCCTTCCCCTGGCTCGCCAACTAGTGTGTTTTCAGTGATGTCTCCGATACCTCACACAGCGATTCTGCTTTCTGGGGTGCGTGTGTGGTTTTAGACAGTCTCATGGTGTCACAGTCCTCCTGCCTCACCCTCAGCAACAGCTGGGACCACGGGCACAGCCGCCAGGCCCAGTGCCTTCCCAGACAGGCTCTTACTGTGTTGCCCGGGCCGGCCCCAAGCCCAAGGAGCGAGGACCACAGACGTCCCCACCGTACCGGGCTCTGAGAACGAGGGCCAGGAGTCAAGCCGGGCCTCCCTCGGTAGTGCCCACAGCATGCGCTCTCAAGAACTGCACCAGCTGGGAGCTCGGAGGCTCCTCAGAGCTGCGCCACGAGAAACTCGGGCCCTGGGTTGGTCACTGCATTTACAGCTGCAGAGGATCCCTGACAAGTTCTATGGAGACCTCGTTTTTCTTGTGGGTAGGGGACTGGTTCGTAACATTTCCTTTGAGCTTAAGCTCGGAAAACACCACGTGAGAAACCTTAGGTGGATTATTACTGACTTAGAAGCACATTACTTACACAGAAATCCAGGGTGGGCCACCCCCACAGTCTGGTGGTTAAGGTATGGGAGTGGATTCCATATGGACCACCACGGCTCAAATTCCGCCCCCAAGCCCCGACGTGATGGGGAAACAGAAGGGACTCCGGCATCGCCACACCTCACTGGAGGCTCTCTCCCACCTCCCCTCTCCCTTTGGAGTGAAATAAAACAAAACAAAAAGGAATCTTCCCCTCTTAAGAATCCTGAGGCCAGCTTCCCTCAGACTGCTTACCTGGTATTTCCTAGGTCCTATGGCTGCCATCCAAATGCCCATGCTCACGTCTTCACCCTGCACATGCCCGTCAAGTTCAAATGCATTTGTAAAGGCAATGCCACCCCAGCCCCGTGGTGACCAGTCTTTTTACGTGGCTGTTACTGTAACATGCAATGCCAAACGTGGACCAGCACCGACACACAGGGAAAGTGGGTGCCCGGTGCCACACACCCTCAGCACAGGCCCTGGGGGGTGACAGCGAGCAGACAGCCCACCCTGCACTCCACCTTCAGCCTCTGGCACCGACAGTGTGACGGGCACAGTGGCACCGGCGAGCAGGCACAGCGTGTCCCACACGCTCCTGGCGTCAACAGGAGGAAAGCGTTCCTCCCCAGCCACAGAAAGCAACACTCCAGGGCTGTGCTCGCAGGTGAGACTGAGGCTCAAGACCACTGAGGAGAGCTGGAGTCCAGTTTTAAGGGAAGGACCTTCGCGGTGCTTTTGATGCAGAAAGGGTAACATGCATCTCCCACGGGAAGCTGGCCCTGCCTGCAGTGGTTGACGCCGCAGGAAGGTGCCCTAAATACCTGGTAGGTCTTCAGTCTCCCCGCGTTGCCCGCCAGCCACTCGACGATGTCACTGGAGATCACGTACCCTGAGCCACATGCGAAGGCTGGGTAAGCGGGGCCGGGGTACTCGAGCTCCTGCCACTTTCCCGTTCGGTCAACTGCCCAGTTCAACCTGAAACTGAGACGGAAAGGCATGGGCTTCTGCCTGCTGGCTCACACATCCTGCCCAGCGCGTTCACTCCTCCATCGCTGCACAGTACAGCGCTTGCAGACGGGAGAGGAGAGCTCTTAAGAAACAGATTTCCTTCCTGTGAAAGAGTTGGGGCACCCTTGACAGGGTCTTCCCACTGGGAGCCCAGCAGCCAGCCAGGGTCCTGGGCACCAACGGTGTGCTCAGGCAGAGCCAGGGTGCAGACCCAAGCCTTCCCACATGGCCACAGCACTGGTGCCACTGCGCACCAGGCTAAGAAAACACTCCTCAAGGTTGAGAAGGATCATCTCCCCAGGTATTTCATCGGAGAGACCGACGTTAAATTCCCTCAAAGTTGCGTGTATGAACTGCCTACCCGGGGAGGGAAGCCCACTGACCTGTGTCCTAGTGGGTACTATACAAACCCAGTCCATCAGCCAGGTTCCTAAGCCACACCTGTGCTCCCAAGGAAGCACATCAGAGATGTTCTGAATCCAAATTTACTTCACGAACCGTGAGCAGCTCCTGCTGTGCCCCATTTACGAACGTTTCTAGGGCACGGGAGCAGAAGTCACATCTCTTCTGATTACATTAGCGGGTTTTCATTAAGGAAAATTGTTCTTCCCTCTAACTGAGAACTTGCAATATAAGAAGGTGTTGGGACCAGCAGCTGGCATAATGACTGTGTCGCCGGACTCCCATGTAGTTGACTGTGGTTTGAGTCCCAGACCCGGTGGCTTAAACTCACACCGGGACCAAGTGCTGCATGCCCAGGAACCCGAGGAAAAGGGACTGCGACGTGGCCATCTCCCCTGGGGGGCGATTTCTCGCTTTCTGTCTCTCTCTCTCTTTCTGGCGAGCGCACGTGCCCTACAGCAAAAACCTCTCCAAAAAAAAAATGAGGGTGTCTCTACAAGACATGTAATTACAAAATATTACTCATAGTTTTCAAAAACTGCTTTGCAACAAGATAAACTCACCCTGTAATTCCATTTCCTCACAGACTTTGGAGCCCCCACCTAATAGCCCAGAAGTCTTAAGAGGATCCCTGCTCCTTCAGCTCGCTGCTTGTAACTAAAAACGGCCTGCACATTCACCAGGTATTCAGACACCAGTCGGCTGACAATGTTGAACTTACTTTCCCCACCAAAAATTAGGCCCGTCCAGATGCTTCTGAGCAATCCTGTGAAACACGGCCTCCAGGTCTACGTAACAGTCGTCATCCGTCTTCAGCAACAGGTCGAAGCTCATGCTCTCCACGGTCCTGTGGGCAGAGGATGGCATGTCCGTGCCCAGGGACTCAGTGGGGCACTGACACCCCGCTCGCTGTGCTGAGCCCGAGTGTATCTGGGACACTGCTGCCTGCAGCCTCGGCCCGCTCGGTGTCACTCACTAAGTGGCCGGCCCCAGAAAAGTACCAGGTTGAACAAAAGCCTGGCTTTGGTGTCAGGTGCTCTTAGGCCTCACGCAGTCGGGCGGGACCTAGACAAGTTCGTCGAGGTCATCCTCATTGATCCACTCCATAAAGCTACCAGGAGCAACCCTGACACCCAGTGGATCACCAGACCAGGCCACAGCACAGGGAGATACGGGGGCGGATGTCCACAGGCCACGAGAGCAAGGCCCTTGGAAAGGGCCACGAGTTCCAGCACTCGATGGCTCTGGCCGTGCAGCCTGGAGAGGGCGCAGTCCTCTCCAGCTCCCCCGTTACCGCTGATCTAAGAAACGTTTGTGAGATCATACCTCAACGATTTGGGGCAGTCGTGTCTGCTTACAGTGTTCCTTGTCTGTTACACTGGTCTGGAGATTGTCTCACGGATGCTCTGTCAGACTACGGAAGTCCCAAGTGCAATAATGTTTGGAGACTATAAATGATAGTGTATCTTGTTTCTAATAAGGTCAGCTTTGTCTGCTTTATCTTATTAGGGAGTTATATGTTGGTGTTTAAAACGTGTGGTATAATAGGTGTAAAAATAAATTCTTTAAAACAGGGGGGAAAAGTCCTAGAGAAACTAACAGTGTCACCCGTACTGTGTTAGTAATTCCAACAAGTGCCCAGGGTCCCAGAGGAGAACGGAGAAGGGAGTGCAGCGTGGCCATCCCCGCTGGGGGGCGATTGCTCGCTTTCTGTCTGTCTCTTTCTGGTGAGTGCATGAACCCTATAGCAAAAAACTCTCAAAAAAAAAGGGAACAGGACCAGCCTGGGACCTTGTGTTACAGGAACTGGATCCCACATGATCAACCCTCAGTTCAAGTCCCAGCCCTGGTGGCTTAAATATGCATGCACATGCATGTGTGTCCAAAACCTCAAGAAGAGGGAGAAATGAAGAGACTGCGGTGTGACCACGCCCCATTCAGGGGGGCGTTCTTTGGTGAGCGCACAGGCAAATTAAGACGTAGTAAGCAAGTTCTGGCGTGCCGGCATCCGACAACCTACCACCTGTAGAAGCTCAGTAATTTTGCAGGAACGTTGCGGTAAGTGTCCACCACGTCCACGAAAACGATGTCTTTGTGGGTGCTGCTCTCCTCCCTCAGGAGGGCGTCTTCCCCTTCCAGCAGACTCAGGTGGCGGGCAAGTCTCTGCGGGCGGGAGTGAAGGCTGCGTAACAGAGCGTCACCTTCTGAAAGGCAAGGTTGCGAGCTGGGGAAAAGTGCTACCGCATGCTCAGGGCCCAGAGCTGCTCCCGTGAGCACTGCACTGCCTTCCCCGAGCAAATCCAACAGAAATTCAGCTGCTGGAAGTTCAGGGAGGGAGATGGGGCTCGTCCATTGCTGGGAGAACGGAGGGAGGCCTCCACCTTGGAGAGCACTGCAGCTGGACGCTCAGGAGGTACGATACACTGTGTCACCACAGACACCAAGTACGAACACAGCCGCTCACGGAACCCTCTGCCTGCCCAGTGATGCCCCGGGCCCACAACTAGTTCTCCAGTGCGGAGAACCCCTTTTCTCAGCCTACGGGAGTCTCCCGCTAGTGGCTCACACTCACCACATGAAGTGTTTGCAACCACGTCAGACTACATATTTCATTTAAAAGGCTGAATGTGACCACGCACCCATAGTACTATTCAGAATAAATGAGAGCGATGATGCCAGATTTACATTATCGTGTCGTGATGTGCCTGGTCGCTTTCTGGCGCTCCTAGAAGGTAGCCTGCTGCATGGGCAGAACATTATTCCAGCTTTGGGAAACAACCCTGCGGTCCCGGGGCAGCCGCGGCCCACTCACTCTAAGCTCCCTGCATTACTCCAGCTTTGGGAAACAACCCTGCGGTCCCGGGGCAGCCGCGGCCCACTCACTCTAAGCTCCCTGCTTATCAGCCAGTTCATCTAACTCAGTCTCGGAATCAAAACTGGGTCGTTAAGTCAGGGGTGACTGTACTGCACACTCTCTGTTGTCAGAAATAAGTGCGTATGCGGCAGAGATAAAGTAAGAACCAGAGGGTGGCATGAATCCCTGGCTGTGGCATTCCCTTTGAGTAGGGGGAGAGACAACTAGTTCCCGGGGGGGGGAGGGGGCTTCATTTCTAAAACCATCAGAAGCAAACATGACAAACAGGTAAGTACCTTGTCATTTTTTAAAGAATTATTATTATTTTTAAAATTTGTTATAGAGCATGTGTGTGCATGTGAGAGAGAGAAAGCAAGCTGCCAGGTCCAGGACTCAAACTGCAGCTGGCCATGTGGGAGTCCAGCACCTTAATGACTATGCCACCTGCGGTATAATTTTTGAGTGAGGGATCTAGGGGATGTAGTACAGTACTCTCTATTTTGGGTGTTTTTAAGATATTTAATAATAAAAATGATTACTCATATGCTTAAAATACATTTCATCTGTAGCTCACAAGTTAACGTCAGTTAAACATACACAGGGACTGTCCCCCGATTCCCAGGGACTTAGGGCAGCAATCCTCTCACTAGAGCAGGGTTAAGTCTGTCTGAGTCAAATCAAAGGACATTTCTGAAAAACAACAAGTGAGCTGCTGGGCGTGACAGGAAAGAGACAAAGGAGAATCCAGCCCTGTCCTCTGCCACTGCGGAGGGAAGGGATGGGGTCTGGTGGCCTGGATCGGCCTCCTGCCCTGCTGCCGTCTGTGACATACTGGCTGAGGACAGGCACACGGGCCCATGGGTACAGACCCTCCCCGGAACCTCCTTCCTCTACTCCCCACCTCGGGGCTCGGGGTGTGCGTGTGACATGCTAGGCAGCAGTTGGCCGTGTGGGACGCGGCTCCCTGCGTGACACTTAACTGCTGCACGTCGGGACCAGCTCGACATTTTTTTCATGACAGAAATAAAGATCATGGGCCAGCCGCTGCAGCCTAGTGGCTGAGAGAGCTGGACCCCACATGGCTGACCAGGGTTCGAATTCCGGCCCCAGCAGTAAACATGCCAGGCATCTGTGTGTGGCCCAGAATCCTGATAGAATGGAGAAACAGAGACAGGACTATGGCGCGACCATGCCGCAGGGAGGGTGCTCTCCCACTGTCCCCTACTCGGGCCACATCAAAGGAGACTGGGGGCCCGAGAGTCGGTGTGCTCCCCAGCTCTCGCCGGACCACTTACCCTGAATGGTGTAAATGAAACCCCCTGCAACTCCCTCCACACCTTCCATGAATTCGCGTGGCAATGCACCTTCCCCGGCCTGGAAGGAGTGAGGACAGAGCATTCAGTGTCTCTCTTCTAAAAATCGCTTTGTTATTAATGTCTTTTAAGCCGGATCTGGGGACATTACTAAGATGACGCCACTGCAGCAGGGGACTGCATCAAAGGGGGTGGCACACTGACCCTCACACTGTCAGGGCAGCATGACCCACTCCCCGGGACCCGTTCCGGACTGAGGATCAGGTCTACCTGCGTCCACACGCCACTCCGGCTTCTGTAGCCTCACAGATTCGTGTACTTCATGCCATGACCACACAAAACCCAGTTTCTTTCTTTCTCTGTTTTTTTGTTTGTTTGTTTTTTCTTTTTTTTGCTATAGGGAAAAAGCAATGTATTTCACATTCCAACCCCACACCATTTCAAAAAAAATTTTACCACTACCTTTGATTTCTTGGAGACTGAAAACTCTCATAAGTTCAAAAA